GGGTGCACACGATGTCCCCGGCCTCGACAGTCGCTGCGTCGACGCTGTCCACAATCAGCACACTCTTGGCCACCAGTTCCGGGCTCATTTCCCGCCAATCTTTCCTCGGAGCCCCGACGGCTGTTGTGAGAAAGAGACAATACTGTACAGTACAAGCAGTAAAAGCAGTAAAAGAAAAAAAGGTGCACTACTGAGAATTCAAGACCATCAGGAATAATTAGAGGCCGGGTCAGTCCTTAATTCTGCACATTATCCGTAGGAAACATGGAGAATTGCAGAAACGGAAAAGATGAGCACTATGCAGTTTCAAAAAAAAAAGGGGCAACCTGAAAGATATGGTCAGGAAGTACTGTATATAGTACTGCATAATAGCACCTGCGATGAAAGTGCCTGGTTGAACGTGGCTGTGGTGCAAAATCGGGGTCTTGGACGAGGTTGCAGTGACAATCATGTTCGCCGATGACACTGCCAATTCGACGGATTCGCACGCAACAATTTCCACGTCTGGATACAACACTCGCATTTTTCCTGCCAGGTTCTCGGCTCCTTCTGCCCTGTGATTCCAAATCCTCACCTGTGTGGTCATATCCCAGCTATTATTATTTTTATTTTTTCCTGCTTATTGAGAAACTGAGCTTTCTGGGGGGGGGGGGGGGAAGGGGGAGAAAGAATTGCAGCAGACATCCAAGTGTCGTTTATTGGTTGATATTTTCCAGACTTGCAAGTCTCCATCATATTTTTTCCTGCTTATTGAGAAACTGAGCTTTCTGGGGGGGGGGGGGGGAAGGGAGAGAAAGAATTGCAGCAGACATCCAAGTGTCGTTTATTGGTTGATATTTTCCAGACTTGCAAGTCTCCATCACCAGCAGGTTTCGAACAGGAAATGAATAAGTGTGTTCCTTCACCTGCTTGATGTCCTTGAAAAGATGCAAAAATGCTTCAATGTGTGCCTTTCCCTGAACGCCGGATCCAAGAACGGCGAGAACTGTTCTGCTGGTACTCGCCAGGTACTTGGCAGCCATTGCGGAAACTGCTGCAGTTCTCTTTTCAGTGATGACTTCCCCGTCCAATACCTTTATAGATTCCACAATCAAATAATAATGGACAATGATTTCTGCATACTGTTGTCGCGGAATAACCATTTATATGAGCAAGATAATTAATGCACATCGTTTCATAATAACTTTATTGCTCCTTTCATTCGATAAGATATTTGCCCGTTATATTCGAGATGGTTTCGAATTTATGTGCAGTATTTGATTAGGGTACTGTGAATGATTTAGGTTTGGAAATTGTTCAAGGGGCGTCAGAATACTAATGAGACAAATAGATAACGAATGACTCACCGCCTTGATGGAGCCCGAAGTGCAGTCGAAAAGGACAATGATGGCATGATGGCTTGGCAAGGATTTTGCACCATTTTCTGGATACACTGTCACCAGCTTCGTAGCCAGGATGTCCTTGTCTGGAGTTGTTATCGCAGCTGGCATGACGCCGAGCCATCTGGAACAGAAAATGCTCTACAGACGAGATTCCAATGCTTCCAGTTTCAACAATTTACGCAGTCGCTTATTTTTATTCTCTAAAATTAGTAAAAATTAATATACAGTTTGTTGCACAGGTGAATCACTACAAGATACAGTACCAGCAAGAGAAAATTAAAATTGAGTTGGGGAAACAAGGGGTAATAGTCCAGGAGGCGGTGGGGGGGGGGGGGGGAAGGAGAATTANGCGGAAAAATAAAATTCACAGTTTCTGGTAGGTTGTAGTGATTATGAACTCATCCTAAAGATTTGTCTGGATGGTAGTGCGGTCTAGGAATGAGGTACTGAGATAACAGGAAAGTACTGGCATTTCTTCTGCATTCCTGCCATAGGAGTAGCATTGAGGGATTTTCATAACAATGGCTTTCCGATTTCTGGATTTTTCCAGACTTTGGCTACTCCGCATTTCAGTGACTTTTGGTCAAACCAAAATGCACAAGCATGTGAAAAAAATATGCTGGCACCACAGTGCAATGCAAAAGGATCTTCTGCTGCCCCAGGGGGTAAATGAGTTATGACAGGATGCTAAACTCTGAGACAAAGGGTTCATTTGCCCAATTCGCCTTTCACTTTGTCCTTTAAAAACATTCTCGCGTGAAATTTCCGTCAGCAAAATGAATGGGAAGGAGAAAAGGCGAGACTTGCCCATTGTGTTTAGGTATCGTCAAACTCTGCCTGACGGGCTGCAAAACTTGCTCTTCAGTATCAGTGTTGCTCTTCGTGTCGGAGAATATGCGCAAAGCATTTTCCAAGGCGAGGATCAAAGGATCCCAAGGCAGGTTTTCGAGTACGAAGGCCTTGTCTATGAAAACCATTTCCGTTTTCTCCATCACTGGCGTAGCCATTGTCCAATTACCCGCTTTATAGAGTAAAATATTTGCCTGCAGGACAACACTTGACGATTAAACAGGAATTCGGGTTTCTTTACTTCTTGAAAAACTCGACTACTGCACGAAAGGTCGTCAGTTGAAAATGATGAAAGAGATGTTTATCACCATGTTGTGAATGCCTGAGAAAAACTTGTAAAGGTTTTTTTCCTTCTTGTCGAATAATCGGCAACTCTGGTCAATGGATGGGAGTTGAGAAGAAACAAATCGTACGATTTTGTCGATTGACTTCAGGGGACTTGGATGGTACATCAACAAGAACCAATCAATCTTCAGTACATGAACAATAATGACCAAAATATTTTCCGTGACCTATTTTTTAAATTTCTTTGAGGAAATTCTGTTTCATCATAGGCATGGGCTTCTCTACTTAATGTCGTTGTTATACAACAAATATTCTGGGGGGGGGGGGGGGGAACACATATGAAGAAAAAAATTTTTATAATTTGGGGGGGGGAACACATATGAAGGAAAATATCTTTATAATTAGGAATATTCATGGATGGCGTCCCTTTAAATCATCCAAATTATTCGATGAAAGTCAGCTGATTTTCCAAATTGTGCATTCATTACTTCCCTTGGTGAAGCAACATTTCTGGAATCATCACAGATGTCCAACATTTTGCTGTACACTACAGCACTTCACACTTTCACAATGATAACCCAGCGGTCTGCCTTCGACCATGACACAATGCTCTCGCGTGGGTAGATGTCACTCTCAATCGCAATAGAAATTGAATTTTGACCAAAAGTTATGAGGTTCCCTTCTTTTGCGCGGATATGAGCAAAGCAGTATAAAGCAGGGCATATTCCTTGCGAGTGATTTTCAAACAATAAACTCGACGAATTATTTTCACGTTTCTTATCTTCTCAGGTTTTCGTTGACACAAGTTTAATCCAAGATTTCAATTTCGACACGCCAAGAACACGTACTGATGACTTCGTCACACATACAGTAACTGCACAACAATTTTTCGCACACTGTATCACGATATATCCCCGACTGCTAAACACCCTCATCCACACTTTTAGATTCTTTCG